CCTGGCTGCATTTTCATCACCCTCCCTTTTCCCCATTCGTTCAGCAGGCATTTCACCCAAAAACTGCTAACGTGACGAAACAGTCGAAAAAGTTGAGAGTTCGAACTTTGGAAGATGGAGGTACACTGAGGATGGCATTCCAACAAAATCCAGAGGGCTCCGTGATCATCCACTACATATTTCTGGATGATACAAAGGCGGTCATCGCTAATAGTCAACATGGATTTATCAAAAACAAGTCATGCCAGACTCATCTGATCTCTTTTTTCGATAGAGTTACAAGCTGGGTAGATGCGGGGAATGATGCCGTGGATGGAGCGTGTCTGGATTTCAGGAAGGCCTTCTTCGACAAGGTCCCCCATGACCTTCTGGCAAGGAAACTAGTCCAATGTGGGCGAGGCAAAACTACGGTGAGGTGGATCTGGAATTGGTTAAATGGACGAACCCAGAGGGTGATTCTCCCCAAGGCTTCCTCCTCTTCATCCTGGAAAGAAGTGATGAGTGGAGTGCCACAAGCAGGGTTCCGTCCTGGGCCCGGTCCTTCTCGGGATCTTCATTCATGACTTAGATGAAGAGCAAGAAGGCAGGATCATCAAGCTTGCAGACGACACCAAATTGGGAGGGAGAGACAATACTCCAGAGGACAGGAGCAGGATTCAAAACAATCTTGAGAGATTAGAGAGATGATTGGCTAAAACTAACAAAATGAAGTTCAACAGGGACAAATGCAAGAGACTCCACTTAGGCAGAAATAAACGAAATGCAAAGTTACAGAATGGGAGACAATGCCCTCTCACTTCCCAACACTACTGAGACCCTCATCCAATGGCTGATCAAGACCAAACTTGGCACACAGACCCCCCCCCCCCCATGACCCCTTTACATCCTGGTGAGGTTTGGAACAGGGTGGACCAAGGATGATGGGACTTGCAGTACCTTCACTCACTTCCTGAGACCACTGCGACCCTCATGCAATGACCGATAAAGACCAAACTTGGTATACAGAACCCCCATGTCACAATTTCTCATATAACTCGGGCACCGCCGGGTCCCCAAGCTACCAAACTTGGCACACAACCCCCCATGACCCCTTTACATCATGGTGAGGTTTGGAACAGGGCGGACCAAGGATGATGGGACTTGCAGTACCTTCACTCACTTCCTGAGACCACTGCGACCCACATCCAATGACCAATAAAGACCAAACTTGGTATACAGAACCCCCATGTCACAATTTCTCATATAACCCAGGCACCGCCAGGTCCCCAAGCTAGTAAATAAATAAAATTCAAATAGCACATTTTGGGGGACTTCTGATACATCTTGCCTCCCAAAAGTGTGTTTTTCAAAGGACTTGGAGGGACCAAACCATGACAATGAAAGGCATAAGTTCTCCTTCTTCAACAACAAGGTCTTTGGGAGCAAAACACGTTGACCCCTTTGAGGCAGGATATGCAGTAGATCCCTTCTCAAAGCAAACTCACATAAACACAAGCCTTTGTTCTGCTGTGAAATCACAAAAGAGAAAGGATTCAAGTTTTTGGAAATTGACCTCCAAAGCGTTCCGTCCTTGCCCGCCTGGCCGGCCACCGGTGAGGACGCCTTCCGAAGTTCTTTTCATCCATTGTCCTCTTTCTAATTTAAGTGTTTCTTTCCTTTGTGGCACCGCTTTGGAAATAAATGTGTTCTAATCTGCCCTTCAATACAAAACATTTCTGGGGTGCTTCCCAACCAACGGGTAGAAAATTGAAAACAGCGTCAACAACCTCTTCAAATGGGTGGGCCAAACAGCAGGGCAACGGGGCTGCGTTGAAAAGATTTCAATGGGAAATTGGAATGGGAAAACATTATTTTTCCAAAAAGTGCAACAAGAGACTGAAAAGGCGAACAGAGCTGTGCTGTCACCCGGATGGAGAAATCCTTGTTGATTAAACAGATGAGTTCTCTTCGGAGATTTCTGAACTGCCCTGACCCTGTAATCATGTTATAGAGGAGGAATTTAGGGGTCCTTGCCAGGAGGCAGAGACCAATTAGACTCCTTAAAGAAGTGTTTCTCAACCTTTCTAATGCTGCGACCCCTTAATATATTTAATACGTGTTGTGGTGACCCCCAACCATAAAATTATTTTTGTTGCTAACTGTAATTTTGCTACTGTTATGAATTGCAATGTAAATATCCGATTGATATGCAGGATGTATTTTCATTCACTGAACCAAATTTGGCACAAAATACCCAATATGCCCAAATTTGAATACTGGTGGGGTTGGGGGGACGGGGGGGACCGGACTGATTTTGTCATTTGGGAGTTGTAGTTGCTGGGATTTATAGTTCACCAACAATCAAAGAGCATTCTGAACGCCACCAATGATGGAACTGAACCAAGCTTGGAACATAGAACTTCCATAATCAACAGAAAATATTGGAAGCATTTGGTGGGCATCTCTGGATGTAGGTGAACTACAACTCCAAAATTTAAGGCCTGTGGACTCAAACAATGATGGATCTGGACCAAACATGGCACCAATACTCAATATGCTCAATGTGAACACGGGTGGAGTTTGGGGGAAATAGACTTTAACATTTGGGAGTTGTAGTTGCTGGGATTTCTAGTTCCACCTACAATCAAAGAGCATTCTGAAGTCCACCAATGATGGAATTGAACCAAACTTGACATACAGAACTCCCAGAATCAATAGAAAATACTGAAAGTGTTTGGTAGGCTTTGACCCTGAGTTCTGGAATTGTAGTTCACCTACATCCAGAGAGCACTGTGGACTCAAACAATGATGGATCTGGACCAAACATGGCACAAATACTCAAAATGCTCAAATGTGAATACTGGTGGGGTTTGGGGAAAATAGACCTTGACATTTGGGAGTTGTAATTTCTGGGATTCATAGTTCACTTACAATCAAATAGCATTTTGAACCCCACCAACGATAGAATTGGATCAAACTTCCCACACAGAACCCTCAGGACCAACTAAAAATACTGTTTTCTAATGGTCTTTGGCGACCCCTCTGACACCCCCTCATGACCCCCACAGGGGTCCCGACCCCCAGGTTGAGAAACGCTGCCTTAAAGAGTTCTTTTTCCCTGGCGAGACAGAGAAGCACCCAATCCCTGATTTTTCCCAATAAAAGGTCTCACCAAGTGGAAGGAAGTGCCGCTGAGGTTTATTAGTGATTCAGCTGAAAAGGATGCAGAGCAGCAATCATTCGCCAAGCAGAGCATGTGTTTACAGAAGTAAAGGCCATTTTTATAGAAAATACAGAGTTGTGAGTTTCAAAATTCCCGCTCCCACCTCCCGCCCAGCTCGAAGGGGATTGGCTGACGCGCAAACAGCTGGGAGGAGGCCAATCACAGGGCTTTCACGGTGCGCCAGAGGCTCCTGCTACCTTGACGCTCCAGCGAACCAGAAGGGAGGGAGGCGGGATGAAGGGAGACAATGCATTCTGGAGTGGATTATGGAATTCCAATGTCCTGGGGCTTCTTGAGTCCGGGATCGGCTTTCTAAAGAAACTAAGTTTATTGTCCTGAGATGGGTCTGTGATAAGAAATGATTACTTAATCTGTGTTTTCCTGTTACATTCAGATAAGACACAAAGAGGAGGCTGGGGTGGATGTCCGTTGAGGAAAGGTTTGAAAGAAAAACGGCTTGGAGGAAAAGAGGACTTTTCTAAGGTGGACACTGGTGGAGTTTGGGGAAAACAGACCTTGACATTTGGGAGTTGTAGTTGCTGGGATTTATAGTTCACCTACAATCAAAGAGCATTCTGAACTCCACCAGTGATGGAGTTAAACCAAACTTGGCACACAGAACTCCCATGACCAACCGAAAATACTGGAAGAGTTTGATGGGCATTGACCTTGAGTTTGGGAGTTGTAGTTCACCTACGTCCAGAGAATCAAGCTAGGATGGATCTGGACCAAACTTGGCACGGATTCTCAATATGCCCAAATGTGGACACTGGTGGAGTTTGGGGAAAATAGAATCTTGACATTTGGGAGTTGTAGTTGTCAGGATTTATAGTCCACCTACAATCAAAGAGCATTCTGAAATGTATCAGCTATAATTAGGTCAAACTTCCCAAACAGAACCCCCATAACCAACAGAAAATGGTCTTTGGCAACCCCTTTGACACCCCCACATGACCCCCCCCCCCCGGGCTCCTGACCCCCAGGTTGAGAAACTCTGCACTAGTTCCTTCAATACTCTTGGGTGTAGTTGATCTGGCCTTGGGGACTTGAACTCGTTTAGAGCGGCCAGGTATTCCCGGACGACTTGTTTCCCAATTTGGGGTTGGATGTCCTCTAATCCCTCATCCACTCCATCTTGCTGAGATTAAAGATGACTTTCTTTTTGTGAGAAGACTGAGGCAAAGAAGGCATTAAGTAGTTCTGTCTTTTCCCTACCCCTTCAGCATTGCCCCATCTTCTCCTTGAAGAGGCCCTATCGCCTCCTTGTTTTTCCTTTTTTTCTACTGACATAAGAAAAGAAGCCCTTTTTATTGTTTTTAATGTCCCTGGCAAGCCTGAGCTCGTTTTGTGCTTTAGCCTTGCGGACCTTTTCCCTACAGGTGTTGGCTATTTGTTTGAATTCTTCTTTGGTGATTTCTCCCTTTTTCCACTTCTTGTGCATGTCTCTTTTGTATTTTAGCACAGTTAGAAGTTCTTTGGACATCCATTCTGGCTTTTCCCTATCCCCTGTCAGCATTGCCCCATCTTCTCTTCGAAGAGGCCCTATCGCCTCCTTGTTTTTTCTCTCTTCCCTCTTTCTTTTCCTTCTTTTTCTCTTTTTCTTTCTTTTATGTTCTCTTACTCTTTTCCTACTTTCTCTCTTTGTTATATCAAAGTTTTTCTTTTTCTTTTTTATGTATACATATTTTATTCTGTTTTTAAGGAAAAATTTCAATAAAGATTATTTTAAAAAAATGCTTGGGTGATACAACAGCTTTTTGAACTCACTCTGCAAACAATTTGCCATGAAAACCACAAGGAAGGATATCAAATCTTTTATTTGGCAGTTTTATATATACAAGAGCAGAAGTAAACACCAGCAAAAGTACATTTTCTGTGTCTCAAAGTGCAAAGGCCATTGGACGGCATCATTATCGTGGCTTCTTCGTTGTTTGAAGGACAGCAGAATGAACAAAATCACACCAAAAAAAATCACACCCAGACTTTGGGCTCTCTGAATTGCGATGGACAAAAGCATAGAAAAGTTACTTTGGGGACAAAAAGGCCCAAGGAGCCCACTGAGGATTCTGTGCATTTTAAAATTATTTTTCTATATTCTGCATACGGACTCAGACCAGCATGCGACGCACACATGAAACAGGTACACACCTGAATTTTTTTTATTAAAGCCCTGATTGATAAATATATTACTCTGAATTATACCCGTGAGGATTATCTACCAACATGCTTTCATACTTTAACATTCGGCTATTTGTGAGCCAATGGTGCCCCCTATGCTCCATCAAAGTTACTACTGCATGGGGACACTTTAGGACAATGGGTTGTCCCAGGGTCAATTTATTTGCTTCTTCCACCAGGACTGCAGCTGCTGCCACAGCCCTTAAGCATAGAGGCCATCCACAAGCCACGTTGTCCAGCTGTTTTGACAAATACGCCACCGGTTAAGGCCAGCTCCCAATAAGTTGAGTCAACACTCCAACTGCCACTCCCTTCCTTTCTCCTACACAAGTAAAAGGTCTTTTCCAAATCTGGCAGCCCCCACGTGGGGGCGGACATCAGAGCTTTCTTCAGGTCTTGAAACGCACTCTGTTGCTCTGGGCCCCACACCAAGGGGTCTCCTGACTTTCCTTTCGTAGCCTCATGAAGGGGTTTGGCATATAGTCCGAAATTCGGCACCCATATGCGTCAAAACCCCGCCACCCCCAGAAATTCCCTAATCTGTTTCCTCGTCTGGGGGGTGGGGATGGAACAAATAGCCTCTTTGCGTTCCACCTCCAATCGTTGGGATCTTTGTTGGTCCAAACCTCAGTGAAATGGAGGGACAAGGGAAGGAGAAAAGTGCCACAGGAAAGAAGGGTGGCTTACCTGTAACCATGTTTTTTCGAGTGGTCATCTGTGAGATCCAAACATATTTTGCTGCAAAAGTGCATCGGAATACCATATGTGCAATTCACAGAGACCACGAAGGAGAAGCAAGGCATGTGCAAAGGAAAGGCCAAAAAAAAAGTTACAGACAAACCAAACACCCAGATTGAGGAAATACTGAATTTTCAGGTGAGATCCCTTCCATTGCAAAATACAGCATTTGAATGATTGCATTAATTAACGTACATTTTTCTCGCTGTGCAAAATACATTCTGCCCTGCAAACGAATAATTCATTGACAGGTGTGTGCACTTCACTTTGTGATTGATTAGCAATTCTGTGCCAATCGCTTCCACCTAAACAGTGATCCCTTTCCAAAGATTAAACCAAATGTACCTCTTTACATTTCTATAGACAGAAAGATATTCAAAACTAACAGTGCTGAAGACTATTTTTTAGGCATGTGCAAATCATGGTTCTAAAGTACTTGCAAAACTAACGTTCTGGTTTTGAAAACTAGGCAGCGCTGGTGCTTTGCTTCTACAGTGTTCTGGTGGTGAAAATTTCAGAACTCTAACACAACTTTCAAATTTTCATTATAAACAGCAGTTCCTAATAGGTTTTGTCATAAAAATTACCAATAATGAAATAATAAAGTACCTGCAAAACTAAAGTTCTGGTTTTGAAAACTAGGCGGCGCTGGTGCTTCTACAGTGTTGCTAAAGTTCTGGTGGTGAAAATTTCAGAACTCTAACAAAACTTTCAAAATGTAATTATTACTTCATTATTGTTGATTTTAATGACAGAACCTATTAGGAACTGCCATTTATAATGAAAATTTGAAAGTGCTGAAGACTATTTATTAGGCATGTGCAAATCATGGTTCTAAAGTACTTACAAAACTAAAGTTCTGGTGGTGAAAACTAGGGGGCGCTGGTGCTTTGCTTCTACAGTGTTGCTAATGTTCTGGTGGTGAAAATTTCGGAACTCTAACAAAACTTTCAAAATTTCATTATTGGTGATTTTTAGGACAGAACCTATTAGGAACTGCCATTTATAATGAAATTTTGAAAGTGCTGAAGACTATTTATTAGGCATGTACTTACAGTACTAAAGTACTTACAAAACTAAAATTCTGGTTTTGAAAACAGTGTTGCTAATGTTCTGGTGGTGAAAATTTCAGAACTCATAACAAAACTTTCAAAATTTCATTATTGGTGATTTTTATGACAGAACCAATTACGAACTGCCATTTATAATGAAATTTTGAAAGTTTTGTTAGAGTTACAAAATTTTCACCACCAGAACTTTCGTAACACTGTAGAAGCAAAGCACCAGTGCCCCCTAGTTTTCAAAACCAGAACTTTAGTTTTGCAAGTACTTGAGAATCATGGATTGCACATGCCTAATAAATAGTCTTCAGCACTTTCACAATTTCATTATAAATGGCAGTTCCTAATAGGTTCTGTCATTAAAATCACCAATAATGAAATAATAATGAAATTTTGAAAGTTTTGTTAGAGTTCTGAAATTTTCACCACCAGAACTTTCGCAACACTGTAGAAGCAAAGCACCAGCGCCCCCTAGTTTTCACCACCAGAACTTTAGTTTTGTAAGTACTTTAGAATTGCACATGCCGACTATTTATTGCTAGATGGAAGTAAGGTATCTTCCTAGTGCGGATGCAGAGCTTTGTAAACTGAACTCTCCAGCAACGTATCGAATGCTCGGACGGAAAAATGATCGTCATCCAGTTGATTTGAGAAGTGGACGGTTTCCTTCATTTACTTACTATTTTGGTCAGTTTGCAGCAGGACGGAACATTAAAGCAGAAGGAATGGCGACACGTCCTTCTAAACCTTTGCGGTAGACATTATGTGCACAAACAATATTGAAATGTGGTTAAAAAATTGATATTGCAGTGAGGTTTGGTCTTGGAGGGAGGAAAAGTGAAGACGAACCCCACCATAGTGTGTCTACACACGTTTTCCAGCAAACCAATTCCCAGAAGGCCCTTTAAATGAAAGGTTTTGGTTACGATCGGCTTAACCGGAGAGAAGCCTGCTTCACCAACTTCTGCTGATGCCTCGACGCTTGCGCTTCGTCAATGGCTTGGCAAACTCTCTGAGAAGCAAAACACAACAATGGGATCATTACGTGCCAAATCGTCACGGGGAAAAATGGAAGGTAAAACATAAACAAAGCTCTCCTGGTTGCAAACAGAAGAAGCAGCATAGCAAAGCAGTGTTTCTCAACCTTCCTGATGCCGTGACCCCTTAATACAGCTCCTCGTGTTGTGGTGACCCCCAACCATAACATTATTTTTGTTGCTACTCCATAAATGTAATTTTGCTTTTATATGGCGCCCTTCTCACCCCAAAGGGGACTCAGAGCGGCTTACAAGTAACAAGTAAATACATTATACGAGGGGACGAGGGATAGGGCCTTCTCGGTGGTGGCCCCTCGACTCTGGAACTCGCTCCCCAAGGTTATTAGACATGCCTCAACTCTGGCAGTCTTTAAGAGGAGCCTGAAAACGTTGTTGTTCCAGTGTGCCTTCCCAGAACAAGGAACCCTAAGCAACATGTCCCTAATCGCACTTTACTAATGATCTAAGATTGTCTGCTCGCCCCATTTCTCTCCAAGTACCCATCCTAGTCATATGTCACCTTGTCATGCCCAGTATTTTAAAATTGTAATTATTACATTAGACCCTACCATAGGTTTTTAATGCGTTGTGGTGTTATTGTATTGTTTATTGCTTTGTTTATGAGTTTAACGATGGAATTGAACCAAACTTGGCACTCAGAACTCCCATGACTAACAAAAAATACCAGAAGGGTTTGGTGGGCATTGAGCTTGAGTTTGGGAGTTGTAGTTCACCTACATCCAGAGAGCAGTGTGGACCCAAACAATGATGGATCTGGACCAAACTTGGCATGAATACTCAATATGCCCAAATGTGAACACTGCTGGAGTTTGGGAAAAATAGAGCTTGATATTTGGGAATTGCAGTTGCTGGGATTTATAGTTCACCTATGATCAAAGAACCCCTTCAATCCCACCGACAGAATTGGACCAAAATTCCCACACAGAACTCCCGTGACCAAGAGAAAATACTGTGTTTTCTGATGGTCTTTGGTGACCCCTCTGATACCCCCTCATGACCGCTCCAGGGGTCCCGACCCCCAGGTTGAGAAACACTGATATGATATAATATATTGTGTGTGTGTGTGTGTGTGTGTGTATATATATATATATATATGTATATGTATGTGTGTGTGTGTGTGTGTGTGTGTGTGTGTATATATATATATATATATATATATATATATATATATATATATATAATATTGATAATTATAATGATATTGATAATTATGGAGCCCCCGGTGGCGCAGTGGGTTAAAACAGGTTCGATTCCGGGGAGCGGCGTGAGCTTCCGCTGTCAGCCCTAGCTTCTGCCAACCTAGCAGTTCGAAAACATGCAAATGTGAGTAGATCAATAGGTACCGCTCCGGCGGGAAGGTAACGGCGCTCCATGCAGTCATGCCGGCCACATGACCTTGGAGGTGTCTACGGACAACGCCGGCTCTTCGGCTTAGAAATGGAGATGAGCACCACACCCCAAAGTCAGACATATCTGGACTTAATGTCAGGGGACTACCTTTACCTTACCTTTAATATATTGATATACTATAAATTATAATATATTTCTAATTATAATATAAATTATAATATAAATCAACGTAAATTTATAATATAAATTAAAATAAATTATAATATATTATTTATATATAATATACATAAAATAATAAATTATAATATATTGATAATATTACAATATACTACTACTACTAATATGATATTATAATTATATATTTTATATTAAATGTAATATTACTAATAATATTACAGTGTAATAGTACAATGTAATATATAATATTAATATTGTGCTATGATAATAATATAATATATTGTATTTACTTTTTACTTGTAAGTCCCCTTCGGGTTGAGAAGGGTGGCATATAGATGTCGTAAATAAATAAATAAATAAACATTATTCCACAGATATATAAACCCCACTTGCCTAGTTTCCAACAGACCTCACAACCTCTGAGGATGCCTGCCACAGATGCAGGAGAAACATCAGAAGAGAATGCTTCTGGAACATGGCCAGGCAGCCCGGAAAACTCACAGCCACCCAAACAACCCTTACCTTTGCAGAAGCAGCGTCGGCAAATTTAATGTTCTTCACTGACTCTTGTCTGGAACTTTCTCTTTTCTGAAACAGCCCTTGATCCTGTGAGGAAAATTAGCATCGACAATTACAAGGCTCTCGCAAGCAACACTCTTAATTGGAAGAAGCCAATTAGGATGCCTATTTTTTAATTTTTGTGAGATATTTTGGTGGCAAGATTGAGATATTTGTGTTCCTTGCATAATAGTCGCAGAGCCATTTGGGACGGATTCCGCCCCCCCTACCTTCCAATTAAAAATTAGATTTGAAGGTCTAACACAGGCATGGGCAAACCTTTGCCCTCCCGGTGTTTTGGATTTCAACTCCCACAATTCCTAACAGCCGGTCACTAAGCAAGTTAACTGACAGGTTAACTGTATTTCATCGCATAATAGTCGCACCCCTATTAATTATTTTGCAATTGTTTTTATTTAGAATAATTATTTAGAATTGTTTTATTTAGAAAGTTAACTGACATGTTAACTGTATTTCATCGCATAATAGTTGCACCCCTATTATTTAGGTGGCAAGATTGTGATATTTGTGTTCCTTACATAAAGGTCGCAGAGCCATTTGGGACAGATTCCCCCCTTTCCTTCTAATTAAAAATTAGATTTGAAGGTCTAACACAGGCATGGGCAAACCTTTGCCCTCCTGGTGTTTTGAACTTCAACTCCCACAATTCCTAACAGCCGGTCATGAAGCAAGTTAACTGACAGGTTAACTATATTTCATCGCACAATATTCGCACCTCTATTTTTTTTTTGCAATTGTTTTTATTTAGAATAATTATTTAGAATTGTTTTATTTAGAAAGTTAACTGACAGGTTAACTTTATTTCATCGAATAATAGTTGCATCCCTATTATTTAGGTGGCAAGATTGAGATATTTGTGCTCCTTGCATAAGAGTCGCAGAGCCATTTGGGACAGATTCCCCCCTTCCTTCCAATTAAAAATTAGATTTGAAGGTCTAATGCATGCATGGGCAAACCTTTGCCCTCCTGGTGTTTTGGAATTCAACTCCCACAATTCCTAACAGCCGGTCACTAAGCAAGTTAACTGACAGGTTAACTGTATTTCATTGCATAATAGTCGCACTCCTATTATTATGTTTTTGCAATTGTTTTTATTTAGAATAATTATTTAGAATTGTTTTATTTAGAAAGTTAACTGACAGGTTAACTTTATTTCATCGAATAATAGTTGCATCCCTATTATTTAGGTGGCAAGATTGAGATATTTGTGCTCCTTGCATAAGAGTCGCAGAGCCATTTGGGACAGATTCCCCCCTTCCTTCCAATTAAAAATTAGATTTGAAGGTCTAATGCATGCATGGGCAAACCTTTGCCCTCCTGGTGTTTTGGAATTCAACTCCCACAATTCCTAACAGCCGGTCACTAAGCAAGTTAACTGACAGGTTAACTGTATTTCATTGCATAATAGTCGCACTCCTATTATTATGTTTTTGCAATTGTTTTTATTTAGAATAATTATTTAGAATTGTTTTATGTAGAAATTTAACTGACAGGTTAACTGTATTTCATCGCATAATAGTCGCACCCCTATTATTTAGGTGGCAAGATTGAGATATTTGTGTTCCTTGCATAAGAGTCGCAGAGCCATTTAGGACGGATTCCCCCCTTCCTTCCAATTAAAAATTAGGTTTGAAGGTCTAACACAGGCATGGGCAAACTTTTGCCCTCCCGGTGTTTTGGACTTCAACTCCCACAATTCCTAACAGCCAGTCATGAAGCAAGTTAACTGACAGGTTAACTATATTTCATCGCATAATAGTCGCACTCCTATTATTATTTTTTTGCAATTGTTTTTATTTAGAATAATTATTTAGAATTGTTTTATTTAGAAATTTAACTGACAGGTTAACTGTATTTCATCGCATAATAGTCGCACCCCTATTATTTAGGTGGCAAGATTGAGATATTTGTGTTCCTTGCATAAGAGTCGCAGAGCCATTTGGGACAGATTCCCCCCCTTCCTTCCAATTAAAAATTAGATTTGAAGGTCTAATGCATGCATGGGCAAACCTTTGCCCTCCCGGTGTTTTGGATTTCAACTCCCACAATTCCTAACAGCCGGTCACGAAGCAAGTTAACTGACAGGTTAACTGTATTTCATCGCATAATAGTCGCACCCCTATTATTTTTTTTGCAATTGTTTTTATTTAGAATAATTATTTAGAATTGTTTTATTTAGAAAGTTAGCTCACAGGTTAACTGTATTTCATCGCATAATAGTTGCACCCCTATTATTTAGGTGGCAAGATTGTGATATTTGTGTTCCTTACATAAAGGTCGCAGAGCCATTTGGGACAGATTCCCCCCTTTCCTTCTAATTAAAAATTAGATTTGAAGGTCTAACACAGGCATGGGCAAACCTTTGCCCTCCTGGTGTTTTGGACTTCAACTCCCACAATTCCTAACAGCCAGTCATGAAGCAAGTTAACTGACAGGTTAACTATATTTCATCGCATAATAGTCGCACTCCTATTATTATTTTTTTGCAATTGTTTTTATTTAGAATAATTATTTAGAATTGTTTTATTTAGAAAGTTAACTGACAGGTTAACTTTATTTCATCGAATAATAGTTGCATCCCTATTATTTAGGTGGCAAGATTGAGATATTTGTGCTCCTTGCATAAGAGTCGCAGAGCCATTTGGGACAGATTCCCCCCTTCCTTCCAATTAAAAATTAGATTTGAAGGTCTAATGCATGCATGGGCAAACCTTTGCCCTCCTGGTGTTTTGGAATTCAACTCCCACAATTCCTAACAGCCGGTCACTAAGCAAGTTAACTGACAGGTTAACTGTATTTCATTGCATAATAGTCGCACTCCTATTATTATGTTTTTGCAATTGTTTTTATTTAGAATAATTATTTAGAATTGTTTTATGTAGAAATTTAACTGACAGGTTAACTGTATTTCATCGCATAATAGTTGCACCCCTATTATTTAGGTGGCAAGATTGGGATATTTGTGTTCCTTGCATAATAGTCGCGAAGCCATATATTGACAGATTTCCCCCTTCCTTCCAATTAAAAATTAGATTTGAAGGGCTAACGCAGGCATGGGCAAACCTTTGCCCTCTCGATGTTTTGGATTTCAACCCCCACAATTCCAGTCACAAATCAAGGTAACTGACATGTTAACTGTATTTCATCGCATAACAGTCACACCACCGTTTTTTGGGTGGCAAGATTGGTACTTTTGTGTTTCTCGCATAAGAGTCGCAGAGCACTGAAACAATGTCTTCAAAGGTTAATTGAAACCCAGGCAAGTTACACAGAGCACAGGAAGGAATACATTACAATTAACCCAGATCTCTCATGAGCATGTGATGTGCTACTGTCAGTACAGTCATGGTCAAAGTTCGGTCCAAACAGCTCTGCGACTCTTATGCGAGGAACACAAAAATACCAATCTTGCCACCCAAAAAATGGGGGGTGCGACTATTATGTGATGAAATGCAGTTAAATGCAGGAAAGCTCCTACACTAGAAACCTTTGCCCTCCCGGAGTTTTGGATTTCAACTCCCACAATTCCTAACAGCCAGTCACAAATCAAGGTAACGGACATGGTAACTGTATTTCATCGCATAACAGTCACACCACCGTTTTTTGGGTGGCAAGATTTGTATTTTTGTGTTTCCCGCATAAGAGTTGCAGAGCACTYAAACAAAGTCTTCAAAAGTTAATTGAAACCCAGGCAAGTTACACAGAGAACAGGAAGGAATACATTACAATTAACCCAGATCTCTCACGAGCATATGATGTGCTACTGTTAATACAGACATGGTCAAAGTTCGGTCCAAACAGCTCTGCGACTCTTATGCGAGGAACACAAAATACCAATCTTGCCACCCAAAAAATGGGGGGTGCGACTATTATGTGATGAAATGCAGTTAAATGCAGGGAAGCTCCTATACTAGAAATGTTTAAAAAGAACCTTAAAACCTGGCTCTTGGGGAGATGGTGGCGGGGTATAAATAGTTTTTATTATTATTATTATTATTATTATTATTATTATTAAACTGGCTGTTAACTTGCGCTATCACTGACTGTTAGGAATTGTGGGAGTTGAAATCCAAAACACTTGGAGGGCTGAAGCTTGCCTATGCCTGCTGTAACAGGAAGTGAAGACATTTCTTTTACCTTCACATAGACGTGCAGGACGTTGTTGGTCACGGCCGGCGGGCGCGTGAAATCTTCGTACGAATAATCCCAGTCGGTGGTGATGTGTCCCAGGATCTCCACCTCCTTGATGAGCATCACTCTCCTATGGAAAAGACAGAAGGGTCGGCGGACGAGTGACTTCCTGTTGCCATGTTGAAAGGGATGGGAGAAGGAGGCAGATTTTTCTCGGTTTGCTCCGAGGGAAGGGTATATTGCTCCCCGCCATTGAGCTAAAGCAGTGGTACCTGTTGGTGACGACAACGTTGGCCTTCCTTCCTCCCGGAGCTGTGCAGTGGAAGCAGAAGCTCTCTCCTGCCAATTTCTTGATGTGAGAGTTCTGGAGCAGAAAAACAAACATTTTACACCCACGACGGCACACTTCTGTTCTGAGCTGGAAATGCTTACCCACTTGCAAGGCTTGGACCTCATTCTGGAGTAGGGAGTCCATTAAGATCATCTGGGGAGGCCCTGCTCTCGGTCCCGCCTGCATCACAGTACGTCTGGCGGGAATGAGAGACAGGGCCTTCTCAGTGGTGGCCCCTCGGCTGTGGAACGCCTTTTCTATAGAAATTAGATCAGCCCCCTCACTACTGGCATTTCGGTGGAAAGTGAAGACCTGGTTGTTTGAGCAGGCACTCGAATAGGCAGTATAATGAACACAGGAATACGGAACAACGGATGATGAGATTGGATCCTGATGTTACTGAGACGCTAATGAGATGTTATATTGATGTTTAACTGTTTATTATGTTATTATTTTAATTGTTTTTTAACGATTTATTTTTTATTTATCGTGTCAGGGGTATATATGATTATTCCTGGGACATCCGTAGGGATACCAAAGTGCTGGTTTGTAAAGCTATTGTCCTCCCAACCCTGCTATATGCCTGCGAGACGTGGACTGTCTACAGACATCACACTCAACTCCTGGAACGATTACATCAGCATTTATCCAAATGAAGAAGAGAGTGTTTGAGGATCGGGATATCCGTAGGGATACTAAGGTGCTTGTTTATAAAGCTATTGTCCTCCCAACCCTGCTATATGCCTGCGAAACGTGGACTGTCTACAGACGGCAAATGCAACTCCTGGAACGATTCCATCAGCATTTTTCCAAATGAAGCAGAGAGTGCTTGAGGACTGGGACATCGGTCGGGAGACCAAGGTGCTTGTTTATAAAGCTATTGTCCTCCCAACCCTGCTATATGCCTGCAAGACGTGGACTGTCTACAGACGTCACACTCAACTTCTGGAACGATTCCATCAGCATTTTTCCGAATGAAGCGGAGAGTGTTTGAGGACCAGGACATCCATAGGAAGACCAAGGTGCTTGTTTATAAAGCTACTGTCCTCCCAACCCTGCTGTCTGCCTGCGAACCGTGGACTGTCTACAGACACCACATGCAACTCCTGGAACGGTTCCATCAGCATTTTTCTGAATGAAGCAGAGTGTTTGAGGACCGGGACATCCGTAGGGATACCAAGGTTCTTGTTTATAAAACTACTGTCCTCCCAACCCTGCTTTATGCCTGCGAAACGTGGACTGTCTACAGACGCCACATGCAACGCCTGGAACTATTCCATCAGCATTTTTCCAAATGAAGCAGAGAGTGTTTGAGGACCAGGACATCCATAGGGATACCAAGGTGCTTGTTTATAAAACTATTGTCCTCCCAACCCTGCTATATGCCTGTGAGACGTGGACTGTCTACAGACGTCACACAAAATACAACACCACCTGAGCTCTGCGAGTGCAGCATTTTTCTGAACGAAGCAGAGAGTGTTTGAGGACGGGTACATCTGTAGGGATACCAAGGTGCTTGTCTATAAAGCTATTGTCCTCCCAACCCTGCTATATGCCTGTGAAACGTGGACTGTCTAAAGACGTCACATGCAACTCCGTGAGTGCAGCATTTTTCCGAATGAAGCAGAGAGTGTTTGAGGACCGGGACATCCGTAGGGATACCAAGGTGCTTGTTTATAAAGCTATTGTCCTCCCAACCTTGCTATATGCCTGCGAGACGTGGACTGTCTACAGACGTCACATGCAACTCCTGGAAACAATTCCATCAGCATTTTTCCGAATGAAGCAGAGAGTGTTTGAGGACCAGGACATCCGTAGGGATACCAAGGTGCTTGTTTATAAAGCTATTGTCCTCCCAACCCTGCTATATGCCTGCAAGACGTGGACTGTCTACAGACGTCACATGCAACTCCTGGAACGATTCCATCAGCACTGCCTCCGGAAAATCCTGCAAATCTCTTGGGAAGACAGGCGGACAAACGTCAGCGTGCTGGAAGAAGCAAAGACCACCAGCATTGAAGCGATGGTCCTCCACCATCAACTCCGCTGGACCGGCCACGTTGTCCGGATGCCCGACCACCGTCTCCCAAAGCAGTTGCTCTACTCCGAACTCAAGAACGGAAAACGGAATGTTGGTGGACAGGAAAAGAGATTTAAAGATGGGCTCAAAGCCAACCTCAAAAACTCTGGCATAGACACTGAGAACTGGGAAGCCCTGGCCCTTGATGCTCCAGCTGGAGGTCAGCTGTGACCAGCAGTGCTGCAGAATTTGAAGAGGCACGAATGGAGGGTGAAAGAGAGAAACGTGCCAAGAGGAAGGCGCGTCAAGCCAACCCTGACCGAGACCACCTTCCACCTGGAAACCAATGCCCTCACTGCGGAAGAAGATGCAGGTCAAGAATAGGGCTCCACAGCCACCTACGGACCCACCAGAATACTGATCCTGGAAGACTATCCTACTCAGCCAATGAGGGATAGCCTAAGTAAGTAAGTAAATATATACATATGGTAAATAAATTAAGCAAACCAGACTCATTTTAACAATTTGTCCTTCTTTCCATCAGTTTTATTTCCTGAAATACTCTTCCAGGCAATGTATACATACAAAAGGGTAGAACGGCCTATACAAAACCTTTTGAATCTGCAACAAAACCTTTTGAATCTGCAACTGTACATATTCGAGTGCAAATAGGCGCTGTCCAACTGCAGCACCGGGCATTCCGCTTTATTAATTATTACTTTATTCTGAGGAGACCAAGTAGCCGAAAGAGTAATATATGCTTTACTAACTTTTACAAAAATAAAAAAGGCCAACACATACAATAATTAAGTACAGAAATATTAATACCATTAAGTACAGGGTAGTAATAATCCCAAGACACCTTGCGTGTATATAGAGATGAAGGACACACTTATTATAATAACTTCAGCATTCTGTAAAGTTGTATATTGTCTAAAACCAATCAAATACGAGGGGCGTTCATTAAAGATTTCCTCTGACCCACTATTTATCACAGGACGCTGAAACATGTGTAATGATTCAAGTCTCTATAGGTTACGTGCCAATTGACAACTCCGAACTGGTAACGGTCTTGATGTGACAGGTGCTGAAGTGGTGTGAGGTTTGAGAATGGACCCAGTGGAAGACAGAAAAGTCACCAAGTTCCTTTCCTTGAAAGGTTGCACACCAAAGGAGACGTTGGATGAGCAGCCAGAGATTTCTGGTGAGGATTCCCCATCATATCGTGGAGTCAAGAACTGGCATTGTCAATTCAACTGCGGTCGGACTTCGGTGCAAAGAGCGCCAATTCCAGGGCGACGCCACTGTGCTATTGACGAACACGCCATCTAGCAAGTGGAGGTCGTCATTTTGGAAAATCACCATGTTCTTGGAATTCAGCCTGTGTGTGAACCTGAATCTGATTCTCTGATTGTATTCCCTGATGCCAATGTAGATGTCAATGTGAATTCTGAGGCCAATATAGATGATGATGGTTTGAGTAGTGAAAATCCTACAGCCTTGAAAAGTGAAAGTCAAAATTCCCATGAGAACATGCATTCCGAGCCGAGCGGAGAAGTTTCATTCCCTTTTCCTCCCAGTCTTAGTTCTCCAGAGAATCTGACACCTGGTCTGCCTAATGAGGATAGGCGGGGGCAGATTTGGCAGAGCCAGGGGAGAAGCACAAAGTTTACGTAGGTCAGCCAGATTGAGAGAAATGCAAACAAAAACCTCAGACGTGTCTCGCAAGAGATTTCTCGGCCTTAAATATGCTTGGTCTGAATGCAGCTCCAGACCAGGGATCGTTCCAGATTCACGTGCAAGCTTTTGCAGGTCTGCTGATTCAAGTGGCCTTGTTCCTCGGAGGTTTTCTAGTTGTTCCAAGTACGATTAGTGGATTGCTAACAGGTTCCAGGATTCAGCTCTAAATGAGTTCAAGTCCCCTTTCAGGGCCAGATCAATTACACCCAAGAGTATTGAAGGAACTAGCGGAAGTCATTTCGGAACCATTGGCAATCATCTTTGAGAGTTCTTGGAGAACGGGAGAAGTTCCAGCAGATTGGAGGAGGGCCAATGTGGTCCCAATCTTCAAGAAGGGAAAAAAGGATGACCCAAACAACTACCGTCCGGTCAGCCTCACGTCAATACCAGGCAAGATTCTGGAAAAGATTGTTAAGGAAGTGGTCTGCAAACACTTAGAAACAAATGCGGTCATTGCTAATAGTCAACATGGATTTATCAAAAACAAGTCATGCCAGACTAATCTGATCTCTTTTTCGATAGAGTTACAAGCTGGGTAGATGCGGGGAATGCCGTGGATGTAGCGTCCCTGGATTTCAGTAAGGCCTTCGACAAGGTCCCCCATGACCTTCTGGCAAGGAAACTAGTCCAATGTGGGCTAGGCAAAACTACGGTGAGGTGGATCTGTAATTGGTTAAGTGGACGAACACAGAGAGTGCTCACTAATGCTTCCTCTTCATCTTGGAAAGAAGTGACGAGCGGAGTGCCGCAGGGTTCCGTCCTGGGCCCGGTCCTGTTCAACATCTTTATTAATGACTTAGATGAAGGGAAAGAAGGCATGATCATCAAGTTTGCAGACGACACCAAATTGGGAGGGATAGCCAATAGTCCAGAGGACAGGAGCAGAATTCAAAATGATCTTGACAGATTAGAGAGATGGGCCAAAACTAACAAAATGAAGTTCAACAGTGACAAATGCAAGATACTCCACTTTGGCAGAAAAAATGAAATGCAAAGATACAGAATGGGTGACGCCTGGCTTGAGAGCAGTACGTGTGAAAAAGATCTTGGAGTCCTCGTGGACAACAAGTTAAACATGAGCCAACAATGTGATGTGGCGGCAAAAAAAGCCAATGGGATTTTGGCCTGCATCAATAGGAGCATCGTGTCTAGATCTAGGGAAGTCATGCTCCCCATGCTCTATTCCGCTTTGGTTAGACCACACCTGGAATATTGTGTCCAATTCTGGGCACCAAAATTCAAGAGAGATATTGACAAGCTGGAATGTGTCCAG